CTGCGCTCGTAGCTCCAGGCTGTAGTTGTTCCACTGTTGGTAATTTAGATGCCAGGTTTGAACAAGACAGAAGAAGGAGAGTGCTCTGAAAAACCTCTCTGTTTTTCACTTTATTTTTTACAGTTGGGAAAAAAAACAGTCAGAATTGACTGTGTTTTCTGGGTCGTCTATCTTCAACATTAATCCTGTCTCATTATCTTAAACTGTATTCTAGTCAGCAGAATGTTGTGGACAATTTCTCACTATAAATCTACAGGAAATGTCTCTTTCTCGGCAGCATACCCTCCTCCTACTCCTCCTGCTCCTGCTCCTGCTCCCGCGCCTCCTTCATCTCTGAGAGCAGCTCTCCCCGAGGAATCTGCACTTCCTCCTCCTCTTCCTCCTCCTCCTTCTACTCCTCCTCCACACCTCCAGACTCTCGTCTCACCTCCTCTGACCGAAGTCCAGCAGCCGGCGTACGGCAGAGAGGTATTAAAGTTGTTTACAGTGGGAGAAGATGATTTTCATTTCATTTTTGTTGGTCATGAAGAATCTTCTGCAAAACACATTATGGAGGAGAAAAAAAATCTGTGGATAAATCAGAACATAAACAAAGTGTCCACAAACAAAAATAGTTTTCCAAACATTTGGGATCATTAAATAAATATCTTTTTGCAGATGTTTTTATTTATATTATTAAACTAACCCTGAAAAGTCATGTGTTTCATGAAACAGAAACAGAAACTGTAACATTCAGCAACACGTGTCTGTAGGGGATAAAAAACTGACATCACTTTTTTTTACACATTTTACTGCAGGTTTTAACCTCTTAAAAGAATAAGGAAAAAATATTTTAATTATTTACAGGTGTTTATGAAATAAATAAAGTAACAGAGTAAATATGAATCAACAAGTTTTGGTGAAAATGAAAATTAAGCAATATAAAAAATATATAGAAAACCTGAAAAATAAATGTTACCGAATCAACTATTTGATACAATTAACAATTGTAACAATTTTAAAAATGTATTCATTATTAGCATCAGAATCAGAATTATTTTATTGATCCCTGAGGGAAATTGAATAAAAATAAAGAGATAATTACAGTTAAATAAAAATAATGAAATACAATAAATACAAATATAAAATAAAAACAGATGAAAAAATGTGTCAATGCCACAGTTGTTCGAGCTCCTCTTCCTCGGTGTCAAACCCCAATAATCCCTAAAGGAATGACATCATACAGTAGGGAACTGTCTCACTTTGAGTTTCTATTTTTGGCCTTTTTATATTTCAGACAGACAAAGACGTCTCATCCTTGGGCTCGAAACACGGACCACAGACCCAGGTGGTCCGTGTGAACGACCAGGACCAGCTCAGAGAGAGCAGAGGTAACATGATCCGCGTCGACTCTCCTCCACCTTTTGATTTTGTTTGAACAACACACCTGGATTGAACATGTCCTGTCTTTTCTTTTCTTTTCTTCTTCTTCGTGTTTGGTTATAAAACAGAGGTGTGTGGCTTCTGTCGTAAGCCCGTGGCGCTCTCTGAGCCCGCCATCCAGGCCTTGAACAGGACGTACCACGAAGGTTGTTTCCAGTGTAGGTCCTGTCACGTCCCTCTGGCTGGAAAACAGTACTACAACAAGGCCGGGATCCCACTGTGTGACGACTGCTACCAGGTACGACGCACGTCGGATCCTTCACCTCGTCGTATAACTATAATTACAATAAGTATTTATTCTCAGAACCTGAAGGTCCAAACCCGAGTTATAAGATGTAACAATGGATGAAAAGAACCGACTCGTATCAATCATATTTCTCTGTTTCTAGGCCAGTCTGGAACTGTGCTGGGCGTGTGGTGACATCATCACAGACCACGTGATCCGGGCTCTCGAGCGACCGTACCATCCTTTTTGTTTCACCTGCACAACATGTAAACAACAGATCGGAGAGCAAAGTTTTGCCCAGGGGGAGGTTGGCGAGGTTTACTGTCTCCAGGATTACTACAGGTACAGAGTACATTCAAAATACTGTGTGGGTTATTTGGTAAAATACAACAAAAATGTATATATATATGATTGTGACCTGAGATGTTGTGTGCAAATAAATTTACACCCTTTCATGTCTCCTCTAAAATGACCTATGTAGAAAGTACGCCCCCCAGTGCCACTGCTGCAATCAGCTAATTATTCCCAAAGAGGACGGCACAGACAGCTACACTGTGGAGTGTCTGGGACGCTCCTACCACGAGAACTGCTACAGATGTGAGGTACGGTTGGCGTTCTGTCTGAAAAACACTAGTATAATATACTGTAGTACACTGCTGACAGGTACACAAACTCTACCGTTCTGTCTGCAGGTCTGTGTCATCCAGCTCTATCCTGAACCCAATGAGCGCGGCTGTTATCCATTGGACGGGAGGCTGCTTTGCAAAGCCTGCCATGTGAAGCTGGTTTCTGGTCAGCACTAGCACCGCCGCGGGGGAAACCGCTGATGGGAAGGTTACACCAGTCCTGATCAAAAGAGCCGGGAGTTCATGTATGCGGTTCGGATTTCTGACATATGAATGTCGTACATCTCTTTTCTCCCATTGGACCGAATGTGGTTGTTGTCTAAAAAGAACAATTCTGTATCGTCGACATAGAAGATCATCTTCATACACTATAGTACTTTCCTTGGCTGTTTCTTTCATATACGAGATACCAAAATTCACCAATCGTATTTATACAACAGACTTATATGGACATCTGTCTCCACCGCATTAGTTTCTTTTCATAATATATCCATCTTTGTATTAAAAAGAACAAAAAATTATACTTATGTAAAAATGAAATAATATATTTTATCCAATAAGGCGGAGCTCGAGATAAATTACAATTGTTTTATTACCTACTATCGGGAAAAATTGGGAAACATTTGTCATGAATTTTTTATTTCAATTTGTTTGAATGATTCAGTATCTATGATGGGATATTTGTCGTCACATTTTAGCTTCACCCTCTGAACCCTTCATTTCATCTCAATGACCTGTCGATGACAAACATACAAAACTACCTAGATGAGAGATTCACTGCACCAATACTTGACACTTGTTATGCACTTCTATTCTTTTACTCTCTTGTCACAAAGTCCTACCTTATTCCATCACTAATCATATCCATTTTTTTTATTTTCATATTACTCTCAGAAGATTTATATTGTTGTTTATGATTTGAAATCGAAACTGAACATTCGGTTTTCAGTGATACACGTATTAAAATGTGTTTTTTTTCTCTGACTTTTCGCATCTGTGTGTGACACAGGTTGACATTTGCTCATGCATGACAGCATTGGCAGTGCCTTACATGTCAACTGCATAAACTTTCAAGGGGCAGAATACTTTCCAGTCCAGTAGGTGGCAGCCTCATGATCAAAGTCTACAAAGAAGATGGTAGTCACGGCTGCTTGTTTGAGGCCACTAGCCTGTCAGAAGCCACAACATGAGCTCATTCCTCAAAGAATCTTCAATACGTGAATTACTGTACACAAAGCTGTAGTAGAGCTTAACAAATATTTTGTAAATGTATGCAACAGTTATTTTAGTGCGGCACAAATTGATGTTTTTAACCCATCAGATCTTTCCTAGATTCCCGGCCCAGTGTGACACTGGCATGTAGTTTATTAAGGCTGGAACGGTACCTTCAACACTCGTTAAAAAAGGATTTTTAAGATGCAAAGCCACAGCTTCTTGGCTAATCAAACGGACGATTTTGATTTTTGAGATGCTAAGCCACAGCTTCTTGGCTAATCAAACGTTACCATAAATACAAGAAATTTAGGGAATATACAGAAAGTGAGACAAACTTGAACAAAGAAGATAATATCAAACTTAATTTGAGTATCTAAAGTATTAAGCGTGATTAGGATCGATTATATTCAGATATTTTTGTTGCATTTTATTTAAATCCACCATCTATTTAGTCCTGTGGATTAAAAAAGGTTGAATGTGACGTGTACATCTACTGATTGAAAAGGAAATCTCGTGTTTACAGTTCAGCCGCGCGCGGTCACGGCAGTTTCGCGCAGCTCGTCCACGAGGCTCTCAGGAGAAAACCTCATGCGCGTTACCGTGTCGAGGTCGGGGGACGCATCAGCTAAAGCTACACGGGAAGCCTTTCACCCGGCCCACATCATCCACGGAATCCGCTGTCGCTCATTTTGTTCAGGCGGAACCTCCGACCGGTAGGGACTAGAAACGTGCCAGAACATTTATGTATGTGAAGCAAGAAGAATAACGCACGATGGTTCGGGAAACCAGGCACCTCTGGGTGGGAAATTTACCCGAACACGTCCGAGAGGAGAAAATTGTGGAGCATTTCAAACGGTGAGTTACGCAAGAAGGCTGTGTGTGTGTGTCTACGGAGCAGCGCGGGTTTAGCTGCAGCTCCGCTGTAGCCTTGTTGCCTCTATACTAATGCTAGTAAGGCTAACAGTAGCATTAACTTTTACACGTCAGGGGTTGCTCTTTTGTGCTTCCCCACGAGTCCCACGCAGCGCATAAACAGTTATTAGTGGTAAAATTGGGCCGAAACGCGTTTATTTATGTTTATTTCTTGCATTGAGCGAATGTGAGGCCAACTTTCAGGAACGCAAACAAGCGACTAGCTCAGTGCGTTAGCCGCCGAGCTAACGCTCTAGTCGTCCGACCATTTTGTGGGAATCGGAGACGTTTTCATGAGGAAGCCAACGTTTTTCTGCACAAACCAAATTAGAGTCGTTGAAAATGTCAAACAACCCGAACAACTACTCAATTACGTGGCACTTTATTGCTCCACCATCTGGTTACAAGACAACTAGAAATGTTGAAATGCCACAATCTGTGAGCGATCGATGAGAACCACTGTGTTCATAATCAGATGTTAGCAAGTTGTTGAGCGGCTCGACAAAGTCAGACATCAACGCACTTGAATATATTTTATTTTTTTTGTAAAACTCGGTTTCGAAGAAATTTTCTTTATTTTTAGGGTCACCTGGTTTGAATATTTTAAATGAATACTTGAATGTTTTAAAGCCAGCATTTAAGTATTCATTTAAAATATTCAAACGAGTTCTCGATTCGACTACAATAATAACATTTTGATAGTCGAGGGATCGTTTTGACCTAGTTCTTATAAATGACACATGCTTCTTTAATGCCGTTATTTAACTTGAATAATCTCACTTATTTCAAAATATCTCCTGTATTGCTAAAGGTTTTGTAATTTACCATGTGGTCGAAGTCCATTCAGGCAACGTAATCTCATTTTTTTTCTGCTAGTGGTCGTGGTGTTTGTTCTACGGAGGGGGTTTGTTATGTTTGTTTATTTATGTTTCACTATCTTTAAAACAGTTGAAATCCACTGCTATTAAGTATCAAAATAATCTACACTGTATTAATAGTATTTTATAGTTCTGTAACCTTGGTGAGTTTAATTATTAATTCTGTTTAATGTTTAATAATTAACTTAGTAATGCAGGCGTGGACTCTGATAATGTCTCACATGATTCAGTTGTTGTATCAGTTCGAGGACAAAGGATAAGCAGACACACACACACACTGCCCCTGAGCCAACAGCTGTCCACTCTGACAAATGTAGAAACAGTTGCATGTGCTGTGTTTATCTGGCTGATTTGTGTGTAATGTCTTTTCTTTGTTTTCGTCGTCGTTCTTTAGGTATGGGCGCGTGGAAAGTGTCAAAGTCCTGCGAAAGCGAGGGACAGAAGGTGGTGTTGCAGCTTTTGTGGATTTTGTGGATATTAAGAGTGCGCAGAAGGCTCACAATGCTGTCAACAAAATGGGAGACAGGGACCTTCGGACTGACTACAACGAACCTGGATCAGTTCCTAGTGCCGTTCGTGGCCTTGAAGACAGCTCGCCCTCTAGCAGTCGAGACGTTACAGGATTCTCTAGGGGAACAGTTGGCCCAGTGTTTGGGCCACCTGTGTCCCTTCACACCAGAGAGGGACGTTATGAACGAAGAATAGATGGGTAAGTGGACACGGCCTCCCCTCAAAATCCAGGGAAATCTAGTTATTGGATAAGTGTAAGACCAAAACACATAATGGGTTTATTGATTCATCAGAGCTAGATGCCTCGTGGTGATAACACAAAGGTAATCTAGGAATTATTCATCTTCACTGACTATCCATTCCTGAGGGATTTAAGCGTATTTTCTACACATTATCTTTTGGTAAGGTAACAATTAAGCAAGGTTTGACATTTGCCGCGGATATTACACCTGTGAGGAATATCCAAGTGAGTTTTGGATTTACTACATTTTTTTTGGAATCTACCAATGGAACTATTTTTTTTAACTTTTTTTCTAGTATCGGATCTAAACTCGAAATTTTTTTTCCTGGGATTGTCGAATCTGGGAGTAAGTGTCAATGATAAAGGATATACTTGAGTCTATGCAGGTCGTACTTGAAGAAATCCTTTCCATGCTGTGCTATCAGCTATTTTTTTCTCTCTCTCTGCATCAGCTGAAGTTGGAGTACTGTGATTTTTAAAAAAAAAAAACAAACAAAAAAACCTTTTTTGCATCTGTGGATACGTTTTTTTTCTGGATTTATATTCTGGAAGAATTTGACCATTTTTGTACACCCAAAGAAAGACGGCCTAGTCCACGTAGTCGTGACTATTCCAGTCATTTTTGAAAATAACGATGTCCCCCTTTTTGTGCAAATATGAAAGCTGTACTAAGAAGACACACCAAGTATAAAATGGAGCCAAACAACCAGCCACCAGCTGCTTGTGGAGCTAATCCTTATCGGAAAGGTGCCATGAAGAAAGAGGAAGTTCTGCAAAGTGTGGATCTAACCTCATGGATATATGCAATATGACCCCCTATATTGGATGTACTGGTGTTAACCAAAGTATGGATAGGTGTAGATGCCAGTGGTTTGGATTACACAACATTGGATGTAGCTGTGTGAGGAAGAGCATTCCGAATCTGTAACAGAAAGCCAGAGTCATCTGGGGAGAAAAAAAACCCCTTTAATTTCAACGTAAAGAAGACTGTCGGTGCATCCTCCCAGTGGAATCAATGGATTACGGAGTAATAACCACATCAACAAAAAGAGGATTTAATATATTTTGGTCATGGTGTCTGTGACACTTAGGGCATTTATTACAAGCCAGTGGAATATATTTTGTCTATTTTTATGTAAAAGTAAACTTATCAGTTGGAAACTACTACTTCCTGGTCTTAGAAGACAACTGATTCCTGCTAGATATACCCTTGACTGTGGTTCCAAATTTCTTCCAGTTGACCTAGAATCTGCAGGTTCACCCACAGTTAACTGTCTTTTTCACATATTTTTTGCAAACCCCTTTTTCCACCCTTTGAAGATTCTTGAGTTAACCTCCCGTGGACTCGGTATACCGGCCTGCTTCGACTCACTATTTGAAGATAAACGTGCGGTGCATATCAAGAGAACCACTTTTTTATATTAGATCATTGACTTTTGTTTTTTATTCGGCTCCTCACATTCTGACCACCTAGATTTTATTTGGATTAGTTTTGGTAACTTCTTTCTGACAAGGTTGGTATTTTTTCTGACATCTGCTTACTATTTCTAACTTCCTAAATCATTTGTTTATGTATGGCTAACGTAGGCTGAACTGTTTAAATGTGATGATAACATAGATGCATAATGTAGCAAAACTCATGCATACATATAGTATTTACTTGTGTAACTTCAGGGTAATTGTTTTTCTCTCATGCCCTTAAGTTTACCAATTGGACTGCAGCCATATTTTGTTTATTTTTTAATACATAGCGTTTGTTCATTTCTTCAATTTCCTTTATTTTTTTACACATTAGTTAGTAGATAACCACTGGTTGAATAGGCTTCTACAACCCTTTTCATCTAACAGACACTATTTAATTTTGCCAATTTAAGCAGCTGTATATTATGGAAAAAAATTATTTTACACTTATCTCCGTTACACTAAGAAGAGGGTAGTTCAGATTGACTTCATGTTTTTTTCACCTACGTTACGTTGTGTTGTTTGGATTGACAGTACAGAATTAAGAAAAACAAAATCCACATACAGACGGTGCCAGAGTTTAATTGTTTATTTGCGTCTTTTGCCAAAGAACTACACCATCTGCTGTTTGTGTTGAGTTGACAAAAATGTCCTAATGGGCTTAAATGCATATAAGTAAGTGCAGTTAATTTGAAAACCAAAATATATACTATAATAATTATTCTCCCATGTTTTCTTGTTGCTTTGCATTAGCTCAGAAAGCCGGG